CCAAGCGGGCGTTTCTGACCTGCCTCTCGGCACCGGGAGAGGAGCTGGTGTTGAAAAGGGCCGAGGAACGCGGTGCTGCCTGTAACCGGACCTGTGTACGCTGGGAAACAGGCTCTTGGATCTCGCTAAGGAAAGGCCTCCTGGAAAGGCCAGCGCCGCGCGGGCCCGGGGCTGCCTCCCCTACAGGCATCGCATCCCTGCCCCAGGCAGAGGCAGGACTGAGGATCGGCACAACTGACTCGCCATGTCGGCCCTGGGGAGCCGAGGAGAAGGGAGAGCACGCCTCCGCGCAGAGCCACGTTGCTGGCCAAGAGCCTCCTCCACCGCCACGGAGAACAGGCAGGGAAGAGGGAGGCCATCCCGACAGCCACCCTGGGAGCACGCGCTGATCCCTCCTTGCACGAGTCCCGCCGCAGGGTTCGGCCCGGCTTACTCCCTGCAGCCTCAGTCCCTTGCCCAACTCCTCGTGCTGTTAAGAAACGCTTCCAAATCTGCAGACTAAACACTTTCTTTGTTCACTTCAGGCCATTTACTCTTTATCCTACCAGCCTGGGAGAACGGCAATATATTTCCTTCCTTCAATCACAGCCTTAGCTGGAGTGTATTTATAGCCTGGGATGTGTTCCTGACGGAGTTGCCGCTTCCCTATGCTGCACGAATTTAGCTCCCTCCACCTCTGCTCTCCCCACCGACTAATCCTTTCATCCTCTTATCAGGTCTGCTTCCTTCTGCACTTCCTTGGCTTTTACCGCGCTCCTCCTTTGCCCTGAGCAAGACGCACTGGGCTGCAGGCAGCTCCCTCGGGCTGCGACGGGCAGCTCCTCATCACATCACACAAGCCGGCTGTGGGCTTGCAGCGGGGGGACACCGGATGCCCCCCAGCCTGTCTCTGTGCATTTCCTCGCCGCAGGTTCGACGGCTCAGCTGTGCTTTGGCTTTCGGGGACCTCTGAACTGCACCATGCAGTCCATCAGACAACCCCTGTAAGGGCTCTGCTGCCCAGGCTGGATTCGGGCAGGGGAAAAGCTCTGTCTCACTGAGGTACCCCCAGCTCCTGGGACCAGCATGGTCCTGCAAGGCTCCAGTGCCACCTGTCGCACTGGGGTTGTTTCAAAGCCATCGCGGATGGGCAGGTCAGCCAAAGAGCAACCCGCAAACGCTCTCCCCATGGCTTTTGAAGCATGCAAGAAATCATTTGCTTCCATTTCTTACCCAGTTTCTTGGGATCCATAGTCAGTGGCAGGCCCATGGTGATGGAGCCAACGGGAACCTTTGCATGCTCGGAGCTGTACGGGGTATGGAGCTGAATGGGCATGCCCTGGGACACAAGAGGAGAAGTCAGGACGTGGCCTCCAGCTCCCCGCAAAGTGTCTCTGTGGCTTGGCTCTGCCCCCTTACCTGGGAAATGGACCCGACGGGTCTCTCCAGCACAGAGGGATGCTTAGTGGAGGAGATGAGGGGAGGAGGGTTCGAGATGCTCGTCAGTCTTTGCAGCCCTGACCGAGAACTCTCGTGCAAGTTTAGTGGGATGGGGTGTCCTGTGTGGGAAACAAAGGGTTAGTAAGGCCAAGGGAAGACAAAGTAGCAGCACGTACAATAAGAGCGAAAAAGGGCAAGTGAGCAAAGGAGCAGGGGATGAATATGGTGAACTGGCTGGCTGTAACCCTGGACTGGGATCCAAGCTGTATCATCACTTTGCAGCCTGGAATAGTTTAAATTACTGCCTCTTCCCTCTTGCAGCTAGAGGATGCTCTGCACCCAACTTCTGTGCCCTCCAGCTGAGGAAGCACCGCACGGTGGGGGCAAACCTGGGCGGCTTTACACCGAGGCAGCCTGGGGAGCGCCCACGGGTCCCTTCTGTGACGAAGCACGTTCCCTGACTAGACCTGGGAGACCCTCGTGGCCCTCCTCCAGCAAGGCAGGCTGCTCCACATGAGGCAAAACCAGAAGGCTTAGCAGGTTCCTGCAGGTTCCGGCTGAAGCCTCTTCTCTCACCCAAGAAGAGAAGGGCCGCACTGATTTAAGGGAGTGAGCTGTGCTGCTGGCTGCAATCGCAGCATCTGCCCTCAGCCTCAGGCCATGACAGACAGAGCGCGCTCGCCAAGCACAGGGATGGCTTTCACTTGCCTGGTGGGTTATACTGAAACAAGTGGGGCTCTGCCTGGGGAGAGGTTTTTATCACATCCCGAGGGTAGGACAGGACAGGAGGCCAGCACGAGGCGGCTGTCTGCTCTGCGCTTAGCTTCTGAGCCTCTGCGATGGACGAGAAATGCATGGGTTTTTCTGCAAGGCAAACAGAAAGGGCAGAGTTTGCTAAGTGGCACCCAAGGCAGCCCACGGACCTGCGGTCTCCGCGGACGTGGGGAGAGCTGATGTAAGAGACAGCACGCAAGTCAGACCAAAGTGCAAAGTAGTTTGTGTGCAGATTAATCCAGGCACAAGAGGGGTGCACAATTCCCTAATCCCCCCCCCCCCCCCCGAAACACCTATTCTTTCTCTGTATTGTGTCGTTACTCAGATGCTGAAAACACCGTGGGGAGGAAAGCTGTCTGCATTAGCGACTCTCCCCATCGCCTCCTCAGAAGCTTGCTGCCAGCTGGGACCTCTGTGGAGATCCCTGTCCGCCCAGGAGAGCCTGTGTTCAACGCTCTCGCCATGTTGCAGCGAGCAGTGAAGTGGTACCTAAATCCAACAGCAGTTACTGGGATTAGTGCAGCACTCAGCTCCTGGGCTGAGGGCAAGGCAAAGCGCTCTGTACACCCGGAGAAATGCTGCCTCTGCCCCCAAAAGCTCCTGCTCTGCATCGGTGACTGAGACAAGGCAGGAAAAGGGGGTGATTAACAGCAAGCTTGCCAAACCCCTCCCTGAGATTAAAGCAAACGTTTCTCCATCTATTTAGCTTATCACCTCTCAAGCCTAGCTTGGAAACAGACTGGAGATAAACAAGCATGGAGGTGAAACAGCCTTCCTCTTGGCTCCCCTTGCTCACACTCTTCCTCGGCAGTGCCTTCCTCCCCGGCACGGTCACTGTGGCTCCGTGTGGAGGCTAGGAGCCGGGTGCAGCGCTGCGAGCCCTGGCATCCCTCCGATATCTGTCTCCAGCACGCAGGGAGATGAGGCAGCCTCCGACTTGCTAGCAGCCACGCTGTCTGTGCTGTGAACCCAGGCCAGGAGGGCAAAGGAGCAAGCATGGCTGAGCCCTGCCTTCGCTGCATGGCTCAGTTGAGTGCTATCAAACCGCACACGGTATCGGGGGAGCCCCAGGCACACGGCCCCCCTTCCCACTGAGGAGGACGCCGGGGAGCGGGGACATGGAGGCAACCAGCTCATCTCCTCATCACATCGTAACGCAAAAATTTAAACGCTCTTAAAGGACGGCTGCTGCTTATAAACAATTTGCAGTCTGCTGGAAGAGACCAGAAATAAAGGCGTCAGCTTGTTGGACAACCAGGGAATAACGCTCCGTGCTTGAAGTGACCAGATGTTCTCTGAACACCTGGGACAAATGCGCTTTATGACACAGTCAAAGGCAAATGAAGATCAAGACAGGCTCTGCACGAAGGCGGGATGCCTCCACAGGGAGCAGGGTTGCTTTTTGTTCCAGTGCAAGACATCTGGGCCTGAGGCAAGAAAGCTTCCTGAAATTATCTGGCTCAGGTTCTACGGGATGCCACATTGGGTTCACCCTGACTATAAAAAAGCTGATGCAAGGCCAAGGAGTACCTAGCGTCTGGGGAATTCTGCTTGGGATGTTTAAAGAGCAGCTCCCTTCTCATCCTGAGCACCAAAACCTAGCCATGCTCTGCACAGGGCTCTATGGGAAAGAGGTACTCTACCTGCGCCTGCTCCACCACGAGTGCAACCTCAGACAAATGCTCTGCTAAGCAGACAGATGAGACAGCCTTTTCTTGAATGGATTACAGGCAGGTTTGGGAGGATTTGCTTTTAATCGATAAACACTTAATTTTGCACTGCCCTTTTCCCCCAGACCCACCTGTGTAATGTCTGGACTGACCAGAAATTAGAAGCTGGGCAGTAAACAATAGCAATCACGAATGAACCCAGCCTTTAACCATCAATTTTTGATAAAAATAGATGCCTGAATCCTGCTAAGCTTAATAACAGGGCAAGTAGATTATCAGAGGCCCAATTTAATGAGGCTTTACTGCATTATCATTATTAATGCTCAGTGTACTCAGAAGCGGAGAGATTATTCTTGTCCTCTTCAGTGAGACAAGAAATCCATTATCAGCGCACAGAGGTGCTCCGGCACACACACATCTGCAGCCCGGTGGGGCTGAACTTCAGGTGCAGCAGCCGCTCTCTCCACTAAGTTCCCAAGCCAAATCCCAGCAAGGATCCCTTCGTCCTCCCAGTACGGGGGAATCGGAGCACATCCTCCAAGCTGATGGAGGCAGGCCCGGCACATCTTCACCAGGACGCTGGGACGGAGGCGCTCCCCGATTTTCATCCAAGCGCTGCTCCCCGGGGGCTACGTTCCAGCCCCGCAGTGCGTGGGGGCAAAAGGCACTGGGGTGCCCTGGCTGAAGATGCTCTTTCAAGCCAAGGCACCGTCAGCCAAGCCTACATGCACCCTGGATGGCTCTTGGAAAGACGTGTTCTCCTCCCCTCCCCACGGGAGCCATTCCCTCCCATGTGCTCCTCTGGAGTCCCTGAAATGTGGCCAGTTCCTAATTGCCCCCGCATTAGAGGATGGCTATAACTCATCCAGCTTTTGATAAAATAGCACTTACACGGGGAAGAGAGAGTTCCTATTACCGTTTATCAAGCCCCTGGAATCGGAGCGAAGGAGTCAGAGTTTATACGATCCGTCATCCAAATTAATGCTCTTGGCTTCCCATCTCCTACAAGGGCCAAATGAAACACAACTAAATCAGCACAAAACATATCGCTGGCTTTCAAACTGCCGAGTGATAACCAAAGATATGCCCGACGGCAAATTCAGCCAGGGGGAAAAGGGATCCGTCTGCCTGACAGCAAGGTCCGCGCAGGGCTGGCTGCCTCTGCCCAGCCCCGCACTGCAATTAGCACGCGCACGGTGGAAGGCAGGGGAGGGGAGCGCAGTGTCCAGGAAGGTAGAGCTCCGCTGGCCGCCCTCCAAGCCGATACGGACCCAGCCAGAGGCCTGCAAGGCAGCCAACGCCTTGGCCAGGATGTGTGCAAGACTTTGCTTTGAAGCAGATCCAGAACGGTGCGAAGGATGTTGATCTCTGGAGCGGTTACAGGAGTTCAAGCTCTCTTATCAGGCAGGGCCTCACTGATCCGGGGAAGGAAAGGGATACCTGCTTTGGCGAAGCTCGGCCCTTGCTAGGAGGAGGCACGGGCTGCCTCTGGGGCGGAGGGGCTGCTCCATTCAAGGCTCTGCAGGCTGTGCAGGCTCCCTTGTTTAACACAACGCTGGGGAGACGTGGTGCGGCAGCATGATGCCTAGAGTCTGGACGGACCCTGCACTTGTCACTTCATCGGGTCGTCAGACTCTGCTCAGAGTTCACGTTTCCTTCGCGCACAGATTTGCCAGGACTGTCAGGCGATCTCCCCTCCAACTCCCCAATCCACAGCCGTGATCTCCTCTGCCAGGAGGCAGGGATAGCCCTCAGCTGCTGAGTGAGTCCATATCCATACCAAATTCAGCTGCACGGGGTGTGGGGATCACACAGCTGGAGCCCAAGGCCTGCTGAGATGTTTGCTCCATGGCTAAAATCCCATGC